GGATTTGGATTATAAGAATTCCTAAGCATGGTTTTAAGGCAAGAAATTGCTCTAAAAGATGCTGTGAAGGTTATAATGAGATACAGAACCATTCTTACGGAACTTAATTAACTAGGAAAACAACCCATTCACTCTGGAGAAGTGACTAAATCAAGAGGTAAATCCCAAGGTAGGATACTGCGTGTAGAATAGGAGATGTCACAAGGCACTCAAATGCCAACAAATGGTACAGAACCTGAGTTTAAAGAAGGTTGAGTGTAGAAAGATTAGTATGTTTGGGAATGGCTTCTTTGAGGAGGCAGGACTTAAACTTATTCTTTTTTTTTAAATTCAATTTAAATTTTTTTATTTTGGTATCGTTAATATACAGTCACATGAGCAACATTGTGGTTACTAGATTCCCCCCATTACCAAGTCCCCACCACATACCCCATTACAATCATTGTCCATCAGTGTAGTAAGATGCTATAGAGTCACTACTACTTGTATACTCTGTGTTATACTGCCTTCCCGTGCCCCCCCTCCACATTATGTGTGCTAATCATAATGCCCCTTATTCTCCTTCCCATCCCTTCCCCCCACCCTCCCGAATCCATTTCCCTTTGGCAACTGTTAGTCCATTCTTGGGTTCTGTGAGTCTGCTGCTGTTTTGTTCCATCAGTTTTTGCTTTGTTGTTATACTCCACAGATGAGTGAAATCATTTGGTACTTGTCTTTCTCCGCCTGGCTTATTTCACTGAGCATAATACCCTCTAGCCCCATCCATGTTGTTGAAAATGGGAGGATCTGTTTTCTTCTTATGGCTGAATAATATTCCATTGTATATGTACCACATCTTCTTTATCCATTCATCTACTGATGGACACTTAGGTTGCTTCCATATCTTGGCTATTGTAAATAGTGCTGTGATAAACATATGAGTACATATGTATTTTGAATTTAGGATCCTGCGTTCTTAGGGTAAATTCCTAGGAGTGGAATTCCTGGGTCAAATGATATTTCTATTTGCAGTTTATTGAGGAACTTCCATACTGCTTTCCACAATGATTGAGCTGTTTTACATTCCCACCAGCAGTGTAGGAGGGTTCCCCTTTCTCCACATCCTCACCAGCATTTGTTGTTCCTAGTCTTTTGTATGTTGGCCATCCTAACTGGCCTGAGGTGATATCTCATTGTGCTTTTAATTTGCATTACCCTGATAATTAGTGATGTGGAGCATCTTTTCATGTGCCTGTTAGCCATCTGAATTTCTTCTTTGGAGAAGTGTCTCTTCAGATCCTCTGCCCATTTTTTAATTTGGTTATTTGCTTTTTGGGCGTTGAGGCATGTGAATTCTTTATATATTTTGGATATTAACCCCTTGTCGGATATGTCATTTGTAAGTATACATGTCATTGTAAGTATACTATAGGATGCCTTTTTGTTCTGCTGATGGTGTCCTTTGCTGTACAGAAGCTTTTTAGTTTGATGTAGTCACATTTGTTCATTTTTGCTTTTGTTTTCCTTGCCTGAGGAGATGCGTTCAGGAAAAAGTTGCTCATGTTTATATTCAAGAGATTTTTGCTTATGTTTTCTTCTAAGAGTTTTATGGTTTCATGATTTACATTCAGGTCTTTGATCCATTTTGAGTTTACTTTTGTGTATGGGGTTAGACATCATCCAGTTTCATTCTCTTGCATGTAGCTGTCCAGTTTTGCCAACACCAGTTGTTGAAGAGGCTGTCATTTACCCACTGTATACCCATGGCTTCTTTATCATATATTAATTGACCATATATGGTTGGGTTTATATCAGAGCTTTCTAGTCTGTTCCATTGGTCTATGGGTCTGTTCTTGTGCCAGTACCAAATTACCTTGATTACTGTGGCTTTGTAGTAGAGCTTGAAGTTGGGGAGCATAATCCCCCCCAACTTTATTCTTCCTTCTCAGGATTGCTTTGGCTATTCAGGGTCTTTTGTGGCTCCATATGAATTTTAGAACTATTTGTTCTAGTTTGTTGAAGAACACTGTTGGTATTTTGATAGGGATTGCATTGAACATATAGATTGCTTTAGGCAGGATGGCCATTTTGACAATATTAATTCTTCCTATCCATGAGCATGGGATATGTTTCCATTTATTGGTATCTTCTTTAATTTCTCTCATGAGTGTCTTGTAGTTTTCAGAGTATATGTCTTTCACTTCCTTGGTTAGGTTTATTCCTAGGTATTTTATTCTTTTTGATGCAATTGTGAATGGAATTGTTTTCCTGATTTCTCTTTCTGCTAATTCATCATTGCTGTATAGGAATGCAACAGATTTCTGTGTACTAATTTTGTATCCTGCAACTTTGCTGAATTCAGGCATTAGATCTAGTAGTTTTGAGTGGATTCTTAAACTTATTCTTAATGAAGTATTTCCCAAACTTCTAGCACTCTAGTTCACAACTTTTGCCATGAAACTACTATCTATGTTATTTCTCTACATTGACACTTAAAAAAAAATTTTTAGTAAATACCTTTTGCCTTGTCTTATATCATCAAACCCATGAAATCACAGGTTTGATGGGCTTTTGTGCTTGGTATATATTTGTTTTTCTAATACAAGTGAAACAAACACAGTAAATCCTCATTATGTGGAGATAATTTGTTCTGGAAAAAGGCCACATAAAGGGACTCAAGCTACCTAAAGAGAATATCATTCATTCATGCAAAAGTTTGATTAGGATTTTAGTTTGTAAGTGAAACTAAAAATTATGAAAATAAGTTTATTTCATTGTATACTTAACAAATTATAAGATGTCATTGCAACAGTGAACATTCAGAATGAACAAATTGTGATTTAATTGCATGCTAAGTATTTTTCTGATAAAATAATTTAACTTTTGTGGCACAATCATAAATATTAAAAGACTGTAAAACAGACCTTGATCCTTTAATATTCAGGTGATTTTTTTGAGCAACAAATTTTGTTATTATCCTTGTGAATTTTCTCTTGTTCAATTAACTAATTTAGCCCTTCTAGAACCTTATCTGTTAGTGGATTTGCATGTGATTTAAACAGTTATCAGACATTATTTTTATTGACATCATGAAATTCTGCCTCTTTTGTCAGATTTGCAACTTTGCTTTCTAATCAATTTATACTAGGTTTGTATTATTTTGGAGAAAATTGAAAATATCATTGATTTGAACAGTGAAAATATTACCAAGTGGAAGCAATGTTTAAGTCAGTTCTCAGTGCAACAGTGAATATTTTGATGTTAGGATGAGTTTTATTTTCCTTGCATTCTTTAACTCTAGGGCAGCCTTCTCACACTTTTTATACTGGAGGAACACTTGAAATAATTCTCAATTCTCAGAGAATCTCTGGGAAAAAATTATATTTAAAGTGTATAGCATGTCAGTGTGATAATTTAGTTGCAGATATTATAATCCAATAATAATTGCTAATACTCTTTTAAATAGTGATATTTTCCTAAGAATCTGTCAACTTTTTAGTCTATTTGTTTGTAAATCCCCCCACCTTTCCACAAAGGATACCAACTCTAAGGTAGGTCAGTGGTATAGATAGAGGAAACTGAAGTTTTTCCTTTTTAAAATTCTCTGCTTGATTTCTTTGTATCTTACCAAGCAGGACTAAAAGTCTAATCACAAGTTTTTATTATTTGTAGGCATATGCCACTGAGGTATGTTTTGTGGTGCATACTCAGTACAAGGATAAGTTTCCCCACTCCTATTAAAACTAAAAATGACTTTTACACAAACTCTCTTGAAAAGGAAAAGAATAGTTAACTTTCTCTCTCAGAATTAATCTCTTCCTTTCCTTTCAGTGAATTTGAAAACTTATAAGGCAAACAGAACATGTTTTTGTTAAGTAATTGTTTTAAGCCAAAATGGGATATAATTTTCCTAAAGGTAGGCTTGTTAGGTTTATTTAAATAAAGTTTATGAATTTACTTTAATGTTGTTTGCAATATGAAAATAAATTAACAGTGCTGAATAGTAAAGTTGCTAAAACTATATGTCAAAATAACAAATAAGACACAAGACCTTGAAAAAAAACATTTTCTTACTGAGTGGAATGGTTAGGTTCACATAAGTAATTATAAAATTAACACACATGTGTTAGTTTCTTGATCCTTTTAATAGTCCTAAAAATGCATGTAATTTTAATTGCTATTTTGGGACAAAAAATAATCACGTTTATTGTTGCTGCCTTGTTCTCAGGCCTGGGTCAACTGTGAGAGAATTTCCCATGGGTTTTATTTTCAACTGAAATGAGATGATTTCTGTCCTTGCTTTTAGTGGTTCTTAAAAAACAATTTCTCAGCATGTAGGAAGGTGAAAGTGCAGCTTCCTTGTACCTTCATCAGAAGCTGGTAGTAGGCACACCCAGATAGCTGGGGTCCTGCTTTGTGAGACCAAAAGACCTGTGACAGATGCTGGTGAGGCTCCTGGTTACTCTGTGTCCTCTTCTGCAGAACCCTTAGTGACACCTTTTGAAATACTCCCATTTGAGAAACTCTCCTCAGGGGACCTGGATAATGAATACGAGGATAATGTGAACCCCTGTGTATAATTATTGACCTAAAATTTTTTTCAGTGTGTATACTACTTAAAGTCATGTCATGTGTACCTTGGGAAACACTGCCTGAAAGGACAGGTAAGATCTGGATATGTTTCACAGAGGAGAAAGAGCATGCCAAAGAGGAGAATAATTAGAACAAAGGCCAGTGGGCAGTGATACGTTAAATAAAACTGGCTGACACAGACAAACAGCTTATTGACAAAGGAGGCCCGAAGTTGGGGGAATAGCTATCTATGGTTGAATTGTAGAGGCCTTGAACTAAGGAAGAAAAAAGTCTTGGAAATCCACTAAAGATTTGAGGGGTGAGTGAAACTGATGAAAAATGATGGGGGAAGATCAATTTGGCAGGGTGGGAAGAATCTAGAAGTAGATAGGCAAGTACAGACATTGTTGTGATAATTTGTGCACATGGAACTGAGAACCAGAATCAGAATGGTGGCCATAGAAATAAAAGAATGGGCTGGCCATACAGCACATGTTGATGGAGGTGATGGTATCAGGAATCAACCTGGGAATGAACACATTTCTACTAATGTTTATGGTATCTCCATTCTCAGAAATATTAGAAATGTGGGATTGAGTGGAACTTTTTGGAAATGCTGCTAGACTGAGCTATTTTCCAAGACTCACTAGCCAGTCATCTTTTCTGGCCTTGTCTCCTGATACTATTCTTGTCATTTCTTGTAGGAATACAGACCTAGTCATTAGAGATCTGATTTTTTCAAGAAAAGCTAGAAACCCAGCCACTTTGTGATAGCATCCCATTTTTAAATGTTGGAAATTAAAATCTTTGTTAACAAATAAAACATATAGTGGACTAGATTTGATTGCCAAATTGCAATCTCTCTGTGGAATTGTGTGTGTTCCTTTTTAAAATCACCTTGAAATGTGCCCTAAACCAAAGGTAATGTTCCCTTTTAGAAGCCTCTCTATGAAATTCCTATTAGCAGGAAGCTCATAGAAAGGCTTTTTATAGTAGCTAATATTTTCCTTTTGTTGGGATGTTGATTTGAAAGTTACAAGCCTTTCTCTGCTTCTTCCCAGCCAGGTCTCTAGACAAACTTTACAACTTTGCTGATTGCTCTGGACTCCATCTGATATTTGCTCTAAATGCACTGCGTCGTAATCCCAATAACTCCTGGAACAGTTCGAGTGCCCTGAGTCTGTTGAAGTACAGTGCCAGCAAAAAGTACAACATTTCTTGGGAACTGGGTAATGGTAAGTAAGGATGTTATTTCCTCTGAATTGACAAGATAAAGGGTAAAATAAATTGGCCTGGAATGTAGTCTCAGTCAGACCATCTCTAGTGCACTGGCCCAGAAAACAGCTGGGATGTTTGGCCACTGAGTTGACCTCAAAAATGGTAAAAAAAAAAAAACAAAAAAAAAAACAGTGAAGGACAGTGAATTTAGTGAATTCACACCATTTTCATCTATAGTTATCTCTGGTTACCTCATTCCAAATATGAGGAAAATGCCATATGTGATTTATGACTAACAAATTGATGTTAAACCAGGTATAGCCTGTCTACAGCCTAAGCTGCCTTTTATAATGTGTGTTTTATGGAACAATCGTCCTTCAAGATGATCCTTATAATAACTCAAAAGAACTTGGTCAAATATATTTGGGGACTGCTTGATAGTATATGTGCCTTTTGAAGGTTCACAGTGCACATTAGCATAGAAAAGACTCTAAGAAGTCCTGCTGCAGTGAGATCCGTGTAACGTTTTTTTAACCCAGCATTTCTTAAACTGTCTAATCGGGGTTGGTTCCAGGAGTGTGCAACCTGTGTAGTCACATAGGGCCACGTTGCTTGGTTTAATGCTCTACTGTCGCCATCCTGAAATTCTTTATTTTTTACCAACGGTATCCACATTTTCATTTTGCATGGGGCCCTGCAAATTATGTACCTGGTCCTGTAATGTATGAATGGTATTCCATGGAACACACTTTGGAGAAATATTACCTAAATCAACCCATTTTTCCCAATGACTGAGATATATATATATATATATATATATATA